GACAGAGCTTGGGATGGTGGAGCCTGAGGTTTCCTAAGTAAGTCAGCATGCTGCGGGACGCACGTTACCGTCTCCAGCCGCTTCTGGGCGTACTGCCTCCACAGGATGGCGATGATGATGATAAGGAGCACCAAGATGATGGCCACGAGGCAGCCGACCAAGCTGGAGGTGCTCGATTCCTCAGTTTTGGGTGCAGTCCAGGGGCTCGTGGCAAACAACGTGGTGGTCCCTTAAAGGACAAGCAAAGATATTGTGACGTACATCTTGCAGCCAGGCAGTGAGATCTTCCAAAGACAGAGCTACAGGATTTCCCGTGCAGTCCTACAGCAGAGTTCCACCCTTCTAAGGCCATTGAGTTCGACACACTTAGAAGGGTGTCCCTCTGCTTAGAACTGCACTGTCAAGATTCCTTTGGATGAAGGAGCACTTGAGAGTTCCATCGGATGTTACTTTAGGTCAAACCAGAGTGACAGGCTCATTCATTCACATCTTCACCACCCAACAAAGAGGAGCTTTGTGGCACCTTAAAGGCTAGCAGAATGACTGCAGTATTCTGCCACAATATATCTGTTAGTCATTATGGTTACCACAAGTTGCCTCTTCGTTTTTGATGCAGTAATTTGACACAGTTATCCCCACTGGAATGCACCCCCCACCCTTTGCCATCTTTTTCCTAAATTGAGAAGCCACAAATGATTTTGCCTGTCTGAAAAGGAATGATCCTTTGTCAGCGTGCATGCTTATAATGATTTGGCTGTGGCACTGAGTCCCATGCTTACCCCAAGTCCCCTCAGTCACATTGGGCTCCTCCGAAGAGAACACTTCCATTGTTGTGCTTAAAGCCACCGTAACCACAGTGGGGCTGACAGCATCCATGTCTGCTAGAGAAACAAAAGGGGTAATGTTAGCCCATCATTTGTGGCCAGGACATTCTGCACCGAGTGGAGCCAGGGCAAGGCTGGCAAGACAGGGTCACCCAATCACAGCTGGGACGACCTCGCAAACGACCAGCCCAAAGAAGAAGAAGAGGAGGAGGAGGAGATTGGATTTATACCCCGCCCTTCATCTGGAGTCTCAGAGCGGCTTACAAACTCCTTTCCCTTCCCCTCCCCACAACAGACACCCTGTGAGGTAGGAGGGGCTGAGGGAACTCTTTCAAGGACTGCTCTTGAGAGAACAGCTCTCAGAGAACTATGGCTTGCCCAAGGTCATCCACACTTAACCACACTTAACCACTCTGTCTCCAAAGGGCTGCCAACGGGAAGGTCTGTGGCTGCCATTTCTACACTCTGTGCTGCAAATGAACTTGCAGAATGCTTTGATAACTAAATTTAATTATAGGCTCTTTTTCATTTAACCATCCTCTACAGAAAAGGTTGCCTGCTGCACCTCTGCTCTGCCTTTGCCTAATCAACTTCTACTGGGGACTTTTCATTCTTCCATTTCTCAGTGCCGGGTGTAATCAGACCGTTCGATCCCTGCCAATGCAAAAGCCACAGCAAAATCACCACCTCATGGAGGAAGGTCCCCATCACATCCTTGCCTGAGTCCCTGGCTCTGAGCATTTGCCTCCTCCTGCTCACCTGACTGGAAGGAGATTTCACTGATCATCATCCAGCTGTCGGCAAAGTAGAAGTGGCAGAGGATGGCTTTGCCCACACGTTGGTTGAGGGGGACGGTCACAAACCGTGCACTGGGATTTTTATCGTCCAGGACAGTGTCCACACCCACAGGTTCAGGCTCCCACTCTGCAATCAACCGCGGCTTGAATAAGCACTCCACCCGCTGGAAGATCTTTACTCCCTTGGAAAACATGTTATTGCAGTGGATCTGAAAGGGGAAAGGAGGAAGGAGAAAGATACGGTGGCTGTTCTCTGTGCTCGTCCACTTGCAGAAAAGGCAGGGATAAGAAATCAGCCATTGTTAACCTGGGCCTTTTCTGTAGTTGCACCCCACCTATAAATACATGAATCTACCTTATAACAAGCCAGACGATTGGTCCATCTAGCTCAGCATTGTCCCCTCTGATTGCCAGCAACTTCCCAAGCCAAGAAAGTTCCTTCTGAGGCATGAGCCAATCCAGCCCTACTTGTTTCTTTTTTCATCTGACTGTCTCCCCTGGTATGTCCCCGGGAGAGCATTACGCTCTTCAGACAGCAATCAGTTGGTGGTCCCCAGCCCCAAAGATGTCTGGCTGTCCTCGACCAGGGCCAAGGCTTTTTCAGTCCTGGCCCCAACCTGATGGAACTCTATGCCAAATACCACCAGGGCCCTGAGGGATCTCATGCAATTCCGCAGGGCCTGTAATGCAGAGATGGCCTGCCAGGCATCTGGTTGAGCGCAGCAACAGTTTTCGCTCTAGCTGGCATCCTCTTTTGCTCTCCAGATCAGTTGTCCCTCTTCTTCCCCTGCCCACGAGGTAGCCGGGCAGTCTGGAATGGGAAGTGATTTTAGTTTGCCATCTGGAGTTTAACCTTATTTATTGGTACTGCTGTATTTTAATTGTAGAGTTTTTATGTTTTTATCCACTGTTGTACATCACCAAGAGCCCTGCAGTAGCAGGGATGGGCGATTCAAAAATATAATAACAACAACAACAACAACAACAACATACTATCATTGAATTTTGTTCACTTAATTTGCATTGAAGTCATTAATGAATCTCTCATTTCTTTTACTCTACTTATATGAGTGCCATAAGTGCAGAAATAATTTTAATGCACTTTCCAATGCTAACAGGGGGGAAAAAACTGCATGCGGAAAGAGAATATGATGTAAAAATAAAGATTCACAGGTCCATTTTCTCCCTTGTGAGGAATGAAATCAAAACTGGGATAACTGATTTGGATAACGGAGTACTTTCAAAGTCTGGTCTGGCTCCATGTCTTTCCCAACACCTCCTATCTCAAATCCTTCAGCTGGAGATTCTAGGGACTGAATCTGGAACACTCAGCATGCAAAGCAGCTGCCTTGCCCCAACCGCAGTCTCCTCCCTAGACCTGAACACAGCCACCTTAGACTGAGTCAGACCGTGGTTCTTCTTACCCAGTGTTGCCTATTTTGATTGGCAACAGTTCTCCAGGGTCTTGGAGAGAGTCTTCACCAACACATGCTGCCGTGAGACCTGGAGAACCAACCTGGGGAACTTTTATATGCAATGCAGGTGTTCTAACCATCCTCAGTTCTATTTTGTGCAACTCCTTCCCAAGGAATATTTGCCTTGCCCCGTCCTTGGCATCTTTTAGGCAACGAATGGAGCCTGTCCCATGTATTCAAGTCTCTGGCAATGAATTTATTTATAAGATATTTCTCTGTGTGTAAATCACTGGTTTCATAATTTTTTGTGTTGCTCTGCAGAATGTTATAAACGCCACTTAAAAGGAAGTTGTAGACAGCCATACTGGCCCACACCAAACCTAAAACAACAGTGAAAATCCATGGCATACGTTTTTAACAAGGCCAATCAGAATGACCCCAAATATTCTTGTTTAATTGCTATATGCAGGGCTCTTTTTGTAGAAAAAGACCAGCAGGAACTCATTAGCATAATAGGCCACACCCAACAGCAGGAACCCATTAGCGTATTGGGCCACACCCCTGACAGCACAGCTCATTAGCACATTAGGCCACCAAAACAACAAGGCCAATCAGAATGACCCCAAATATTCTTGTTTAATTGCTATATGTATATAAAATTGAATATAGAAAGTCACATATATTGATGCTAATAAATCACAAAAAATTGTGCTGTACATAAGAAAATTTTTTAGTTGATTCGTACATAAGGCTGCAATCCTAAGGATACTTTCTTGGGAGTATGCCCCATTGAATAACATGAGATTTATTTCTATATCTATACACAAGCACCTACTACAAAATAATAATCTATATTAAAGCAAATATCACAAAATCAACTTTGAAAAATTACAACTAGAGAAAATTTACACGCATGCACGCACACACACACAAGTTGCTCTGTAGATGTTTTTTAGAGCAACCCTGAGTGGGTCTACTCAGGTCTATTCAATGGACCTTACTCCCAGGAAAGTGTTCTTCAGACTGCACCATTAAAGTGCAATCCTAAACAGAATTATTGCCTTCTACGCCCATTAGCTTCAATGGGTGCGGACTCCATTTAAGACTGCACTGCCAGTTTCCTGTTTCTTGTGAGCTGCCTCAAATGCCTGGAGGGGCAGAAAGGCAGCCTACAACTTAATAAACCCACCAAGGGCTGCAGGGCTGCAAGGGCTTTACCTTCATGGAGGTGAAGTTCCTCTGCCGGTCAAACTGGAACTCCATCTCCACAGTGCCACCACTAATACTGTCGTTCCTCCAGCCAACATAGTCATAGCCTGGCCATACACGGTACTGGTGGCTCTTTGTAAAATCATCCAAGCCCAGAACACCATCCGTCAGCTGGCCCAAACCACCGTGTAAAAGCCTGGGGAGAGACTTTTAACAGTTACATACTGCCAAGAAGCATCATTCGATGGAGGCCCAGTACTCACGATAACATGCCCAAGGCAACAGAAGCACTACACCCTGACCTGGATAGCCCAGGCTAACCCGATCATGTTAAATCTTGGAAGCTAAGCAAGGTCAGTCCTGGTCAATATTTGGAAGGGAGACCACTAAGGAAGACCAGAGTCACGACGTGGAGGCAGGCAACGGCCAACCACCTCTGAACGTCTCTTGCCTTGAAAACCCCACGGGGGTAGCCATAAATCAGCTGTGACTTAATAAAATATGGCACTACTCAAGAGGGCTGGTCTGCGTATGTATCTTTCACACAGTGTGATTCTGAGTATAGTCGTGCATCTGCAGGTTTTTTTTAAAAAAAACTAATTTTTCGCTGAGGTGTTTTGCTTGGAAGTGTGGCATTTTATGTCCCAATGATAGCGCACGTGTTCTGGCAAGTGGTCTGCTCAGCTATCACATTTCCCATTGAGGCACAGTGTCACCAGGTTGTTCTATAAACACCCATTACTGACAGGCACACTGTTCCCAGACACCACACTACAATTTGCACGATGGGATGATGCTCTGAGCCACTCCCACCTTCCACAAACAATTGTCATAGGAAATAGAAAGTAGGAGATCCATGTCAAATCAATATACCACACAAGGGGTAACTATGCCATGCCAAGAGACAGTGTGCACAGTGACTGCATGATTACCAAATGTGAGTACCAGGCCTGAGAACTGCTGTCTAAGGGTAAAGATTCGAGTCCACCCCCCACCCCCCCGTGGTATTCCAGGCCCTTTTCCTTTTCACAAAAAGAAAAGGCAAGTTTCTAGCCCTTTAAGGGATAAGGCACACAAGACATTTAATAAAGATCACGGTGGATTCTTCACCAACAGTACAAGGTTCATTTTTGTCCAGCTTTGCAAGGCAGATGTACATGCCAACAAATCAAATGCTGGTTCAGTCTTCCCCCTCGTATCATACTTCAGTTGGGCAGCCCACCTCTTAAGAATGTTTCCCCCAAATGCTGCATTAACTTATACATGCATCCTCCTTATGGAAAAAACAAAAAACTAAAACTAAAACAGTAGCAAAACTGCTGTGAGGACTAGAAGAGCAAAGGTGTCTGAGGCTGCAGTCACACACACTAAATAATGCACTTTCATTCCACTTTCAGTGCACTTTCCAACTGGATTTTACTGTGTGAACTGGCAGAATCCAGTTGGAAAGCGGATCGAAAATGGATTGCAAGTGGATTATTTAGGCTGTGATCACACGAGCAGTTTGGCCCGACGCAGCCAACTCTCCCCTCCGGATCAAATGGGCTCAGTCACACAGCCACATCACTCAGGCATTCCCCCCACATACTCATCCCGTCATAGGACAACTGGGAGCTGGGTTAAAAAGGCACCACATCACAAGTGGTGTTTTTGGTTCCCCACACATTCATTGTGCATGGCCGGATGTTTGAACGTGGGGGAGCATGCACAGAACAGATTTAACAGTCTGAACCTGCAGATCTGTTCTCACCACTACGGAGAGGTTCTTAAAATTTTTGCCTATATGTTCATGTGCATGCGCATGCACACGTGTGTGCACATGAGCACACATGCATTTTGAAAAATTCTGGGTAGTGTGCTCTGTGGCTGAGGCGCTGCAGTAATGTGGATGCTTGACCATGGGATGTCTGCATGGGTAACCCACAGCAGGGTGTGCTGTCTGGATGATATGCCCCGCAACACTTTAAACCGGTACAATTAGAGGCGGCACCATATCGTGCCAAGCCACCAGTGTGACCAAAGCCTTAGTGTGTGTGACCAGAGCCTGAGTAACATCAAGAGCGCTAACCCACCCGCTTTGCAGAATCTTTTTGTCAGCTATGCTGCCATGGGGGTTGGGGAGTTCATTCGGTGTCTTGTTAATTTCTATTGCATTCCTATCCCTGCTGTTCTGCCTTTGCTGAAACGCTTATCTCTACAGATGTGCAGGAGGAGGTTGTATTGTCTGGAGGTCTCCTATGTACCGTGAGAGACTTCTCATTCCCAGCTTTTAGCCACCTAACGCTTTCCTAACTTATCCCGTGCGTGGGAGGGTACCTAATTGGCCCATGCCATGGGGGGGGGGGTTTGCTTACGAATACCCTATATCCTATTAGGCTCTATTGGTTGCCGCCATTCTTAACAGTGCCTGTGTTACTGCCTCTATAGCTTTGCAATAAAAGTATAACCGTTCCTGAATGCGTGTACTTCGTTGTTAGCTGTGGGTTCTGACACTTTCCCCCTCAGACCTTAATACTGGTAGGAAAATGGTATGGATATGGTGAGGGCACTTCCAAACTGGCCCTATTACTCTGCAAATATTGTGTCTGCAATCAATGCTCCCTCTAAGCAGTGGAGTCTTGTGAGCAAAAATTCTACTTTGTGAGCTACTGGCATTATTTATTTATTTATTTGTTTGTTCGATTTATACCCCGCCCTCCCTGCCGAAGCAGGCTCAGGGCGGCTTGCACAAAATAAAACACATAGATAACAGTATCAACAGTTGTAAACAATTAGAAACAGTCATAGAACCTTCTAAAAACAGTCCAATATATAAAGTGCTAGTGAATGATAGATCTATACTAATATAATTTATAATTTAAAGCTGTGAGCCAGCAATTTGGCTTCTGCATAAATTAGTTTGCTCTGGGTCCATCCTTCCTGAGCTAAGACAAAAATGTGTGAGCTGGAGGCTAAAAAACAGATAGCTCACGCTAACTCAGCTTAAAGGGAACACTGTCTGCAATCTGTGTGTGTGTAATCTAAATATCTGAGTGGAACTGGCACCACCTAAGTACCGTTTTGGCCTAACAAGTCAGCTGAGATGCCTCTTCTCCCCTCCTCCCCAGCCTCCTCTTACTTGTGTTCTTGGTAACCATCATAGGTCGAATCATTCAGGTAAACAATGGGGTGACCCGGAGCTGTGATCACGCCTCCCTCCGGCATGCTGTAGGACTCCAGGCCATCTGGAAAAGGGGATTTGGGTGTCAGCAAGAAGATCCCAGTTCCTCTGCCCACATGATCCACTTTGAGCTAGAAGTAGCCAAGGATGGGGCCAGATTCTTCTCTCCATCTCTTCTGTCCCTGCACTACCCATGGACACCAGGCCCGTGTCAGGAGACTGCTGGTTTAGATGCAAGCCTGGACCACCCAGATGGGCAGTCAAGGCAGGAAGCAAGCCAGCTTTCAAGCCAGTCAGGAAGACTGAGGAACTTGACCACAGATGAATCTGTACCCAAATTGTTCAGCCTGAGGACCCCATGTGATCACTGCTGAACTATCAGCTGCAATACCACCCCCCGGCCATCTGTAGCAGTGGTGCCAGCGGCTCCTTCCTCCAGCAAGCTGCTATGTACCAAAGAGAAGAAAGGAGCCCTGCTGCCCCATAAGCTCTTACCAAACCAAACACAGCCATAGAGTTCCACTCGCATGCAGACAGTCATGGGCTGCTCAGTCACCGGGATCACTCGGATGTAGCGGGCGATGACAGGTGGACGCAAATCTTTCAGGACAACGTCATAAGTGTCAACGTTACCTTGAATCACCTAGAACAGATAAGACACTGCTAGATCTCCCCCCGTCAAGATTTCTCAGCGGTTAATAAAGATATAAGACCTGTACAGCTGGTAGAATACAGCTACTGGACTTGAATCTAGTTGACCAGAACGGCTGTGTGTCTTCTTAGGACATTCCCCCAGGGCCCCAACAGCCTTGTCATTAGCTGATCCCCGATCCCAAAGATTTCTGACAACAGTCAGTTCTGCAAGGACCAACACTTCAAAGGTGGACCTATCTAGAGATTACTTTAGGGCACCTACTCAAATCTTCTCCTCACCTCTGTTCTCCCAATTTTTTCAAAGGTAGACCTATCAAGAGATTACTTTAGGGCATCTTCTCCTCACCTCTGTTCTCCCAATTTCCAAAGGAAAACAACAAATATCAGACAGCTGTACCCTTCCTTTAAAGAAACAGATATTGTCTTTACCTCTGAACATTACCTTTCCCTCGTGTAATGGCAGCCTGCTTTGGGATCAAGGAAGAGGGCTTCCTTCCCAGGTGACAGAACACCTGTGGTGAGCCAAGGTAAAGCAGCCTCTCTCTTGTTCAAAATTCTTTTGAAACATTAAAAAATTAAACCTTGGTGTGGTACTCACAAACCACTGAAAAGCCTTATGCTGCTACTCTGCCCCTGTTCCTCATCATCCCTGATAATCAATCAAACAAACAGGTCTGATTAAACCCTTCAGAAGCACAAGTGATGGATCTAACCTTAACCTCTATCCTACTATTACAGAAGATGCAATGCAGACTTGAAAATAACCACTTGCCTTCGCCTACAGCAAGTTGGATGATCACCTCCAGATGAGCTGGCACAGAAGGTAATGGGGAGGAGGACTTGAAAAGTTCATTCCTTTCTACTTTCAGGCTGTTGATATGCCAGAAACTACTTGCGTGAGTACACGGCAGACAGGCAGGCTGCTAAAACTGTCATGCAAATGAGTAACTTTTGTAGCCTCATTTGCAAAGCAAACATATTCTTCAAATACGTTCCAGTCATTTCTCACCCACCTGCCTGTTCTGACGGTCCTTCCAAGACAGCCAGTGCTCCCCGTTGCGGCTGTAGTCAATTCGGTAAGCACGGGCAAATTCCTTCCCAGTGGCTCGTGCATGCCGCCCCTGCGTTCCCACTAGCGTGATGAAGTAGAGTTTATGCAGATCTATTTGGAGAAACTGCACGTCCTCTGGTTGCAGGAGTCCAGCAGGGCACCAGGCCCCATCACCTTCCTCCCTCAACAACCTGAGTGTGATTACAGAGAGAGAGAGAGAGAGATAAAAACTGACATCCCAAAGACCAGATGCAGAAGGAAGCAGAGAAGAAAACACAAAAGCTCACTGAATGCAGAACTTTATAAAGACTATTTAGTGAACATATCCATCTTCCTTATACTAAGCCACAAAACTGGTCCATCATGCATGGTATTGCCTGTTCCTAAGCAGGATTATAGTCAGACTTTCTTACTAAGGGGAGCCACCATTTTTTTCTTGTGGAATTTCAGAAAAGTGACATCTCCAGAACTATCAGAAATGCCCACAATCCCCTTGCAAGTTCAGAAGCTTTCACTTGCTTAATGAAGGCTTTCCTTAAATCCATAATAACTTTCGCAAGTTATCCCTTCTAAACCCCCTGACAAGTTCCTGCTCATAGCAAAATGGAATTTGTTTCAGGGTCACATCAAAAAGAAGCGTTTGTTCTTCAAACGGAAACTGATGTCACAAACTGAAACAGTTTGGGCAGTCCCTTATTCTGAAATGAAGCGTAAGTACTCCAAATGGAGAGAGGCAGCTACTGGCTCCACTTTAACGCCAATTGGAAGCAGGATTTCTAGGTCTAGGGAAAGGGGTCAGACGTAGTGACAGATAGGGGTTCATTTTTGCCAATCCCTGCCTTTGCCCCTCAACTTCAGAACTCTGACTTCACTGAGGGCCACTCTGTTCCTCAGAAGCAGCAATTTGGGGGAAATTTCAGCCATTTTAGCAGGATAGGGGAAGCCAGAAGGTCCTGTTTCGCTTTCCATCAGCAGAAATTAGTTCTAAATCCAATCTAAAGATATGGTCCCATGCTGTGTGTCCTGTCATCTTACCTATGGGTCTCTTGCCTAGGTTTATACAGGACATGGCTTTGATTGAATGCTCTGGGCATGTGATTGGCTGCAGACTTGATTGGCATCCTAAGCTGTACTGGTGCTTTGCATTTTATGGCGTAAATGGCCCATAACGGGTATTTAGCACCACAGAGGTAACACTGGTTTTTGGATCTAAATCCCTGCTTACCGTGCATACTGTGGTCCTGTAGAGTCATACCACTGGCTGGAAGCTGTGATATCCTCATCTCGGATTGTCCCTTCATGCATCCCCAAAGGGTATCGGCATATTGCTGGGGAAAGGAGGGACAACACAATATTTACATCAGCATACAGACAGCTGGCCAATTACACAAATCACTGATGAGAAACACACAAACACATCCCATTATGTATTCCCCAGGTACAGTTTTCATCCTTCCTGTTCTCAGAACTGGTTTGATGTTATTTCTGGGACCAGTACTTCCCGAATCTGATTTGCTGTCCCCCTCCCCTCCCATACAAATACACGCATTTAGCTTGTAAATAAACAGGTTCTTGGCCTAAGCCACATGGACCAAACAACTGCTCTGCTGAATCAGACTAATGACCCATCTTGTTCAACATCATGCTTCCAACAGAGGCTGGATGCTTCTGGGAATCCCACAAGCAGGGCATAAAGGAGATGGTCTTGCCCTGTTCCCCAGCCTCTGCATCCCAAGCCACATGGTTAGCCAATCTCTTAGGTTCTCCATATGTCCTGCCTGATTAATTATTCTTAGACCTATGGTTCTATAGCTGGTTGCTTTACTAATTGCTTCTTAAAAGTTTGGAATGAGTATTGTTCTAATGGCTGCTGTTGCAAGCCACCTTGGGAGCAAAAATGCTAAGAGAGTGGGATCTCAGTATCTTGTAAAATAAATACACCTCCTCCCAAGACACATGCCCGGTAAAAGCCACCCAATATTTTGGGGTGCCACCCCTTCTGGGGACATGACCAAAAAAGGCATGGCTTTTCAGGTGGTGGAAACTCAGAACCTAACTACATGATACACTTTCCCCAGGAATGTCCCTGAGTCAGGTCAACAGATGTCATCAGGGCATTCCATGCTCCCGCAGCATGCACAGGCCTGATAGGGATGAGTACCACAGCCTAGTTCTTGTGGCTCTTTCTTACATGCCCAGGGAAATGCCAGTTGCCACTTTGGGGTCACAAAGCAATATTTCTCCAGGCCAGTTTGGCTGGGGATCCTGGAGAGGTTATTATTATTATTTTTGCCATCTTCTGGGCACGGAGAAAGGGTCACTGTGTGTGTGTGTGGGGAGGTACTTGTGAGTTTCCTGCACTGTGTAGGGGGTTGGACTAGATGACCCTGGAGGTCCCTTCCCACTCTATGATTCTATGTGAGGAGAAGGGCTTAAGTCTCCTGCCATGCCATTTGTTCAGTCTGAAACTGCCTTGAGGAGCCACTGTTTCCCCACTGAGGAATCATAACAGAACAGCTTCCTCGCAGCTATCTTGCTGGCCCTGAGCTCACTAAGTTTTCAGAGTCCACCTGACTTTTGTTAACATCTACCCTTTAATTTACACACCATCTTTTAGCTGAATTTGTTGACTGTTGACCACCCTTTTAACACCTCTTGGAATTTCAGTGTGAATTATTTTTACCTCTCTCTCTGCTCTTCATTTTAAACAATATTTTTCTGCTCCTAAGCTTACGGTTATGTTTGTTTTTTTAAATGCTATCGTTCTGTTAGAGGATATGCTTCCATGCTCTTACCCTATTGCAGTTTGGTCTGAAATTTGCTGCTCTGATCTGTTGGTATTTAACACTTTTATTTGCCTCTGCTGTTCATTTTACAGCCACACCCGTGCAGCTTGGGATGCCAATCAAGCCTGTAGGTAATCACATCCCTCCCCAGCAGCCAATCACATGCCCCCAGAGCATCCAATCAAAGCTCCCACCCATGACCTGTATAAACTCAGCCAAGAGACTCATAGGTAAGATGACAGGACACACAGCATGGGACCATATCTCTCTAGCCCATGCTATGTACACTTTGCACTTTATGGTGTGAACAGCTTTGCACTTTATGGTGTGAACAGCCCATAAAGGGTGTTTAGCACCACAGAGGGGACACTGAACACAAACAGCTAAAAGAGCACACAAGCATTGTCATTTTATTTGCCTAACATTGCTCTGCTCACAACCCCTAAAGATATTCCACTGACAGTGACATTAAAGGGTAGACCCTGCTCTCCCCAATGGCATGTGCAAGGACAAAGCACCCAATCAAGTTAAGCAAAAAAAAATTTAGTTACTAATTGCTAGTAATATTCATTATTAACTTAAGAGCTGTGATTGGATGTGTTGTTTCCCCCCCAAGATTTTGTGCCGCAAAACCCCCTTGCCCTACAGTACATCCTAGAGTAAGTCAAAGAAATAATAACATAAAAATGTTACCCAGAGAATCTGGAAACCAAGCACAAAGAAAATCTCCAGCAATGGAGCACAGTTACATCTTCCTAGCACTCAACACTCCTAGCTGTTTATCAATAACAAGAACTTCTTGTATCTCCAAAGGTAGTCTGTAGGCTACACCAGGCCTGCTGGGCTTCTCCAATTAGCCCCCTACCCAAGCCTCTGCTTAGATCTCTCTGCATACCAGTGCTATGTTTCTTCATAGCCCTACACATGCCCAGTGAAAAAGGATATCTGCTGCTTGTAAGCACCCATCTTTGTTTTTAAAAGGTAGCCATTTTTTTTTCTTTGAGCATGCACACATTGGGTAAAAAAACCCCAACACAGCAGTTGGAACAGGGAAGCAGGTGGTTACAAGGACCAATATATACATTTTAAAAGCCCTTGGCACTAGGGCATAAAGCCAGGGTGGGAGTCTACCTAACAATTTAACACTGCACTAGTAGCCTCCTACCAGGGTTCACTTCTGAGCTGGAGCAACAGGAGAGGCCAAACAGCAGTAGGACTGGCAAACACAGCATCCTTGGAGACATGGGAAGCCCGTGGGTCAGTCGGGCGGTGCTCCCTGGTGGTCAGTCGCTGCCATTCAAATGTCTGAAAGAGACAGATAGAAAGATAATTGGCTTTGAGAGATTTCCAGGTTAGGTGAGTCTGTGTAGCTTCATACGTTTTTTAAAAATTGGCTGTCATAAGTCCAGAAATTATTAGCTGATTCACAAAATTTTGGGTCAAACTGGAGAAAACACAGAAAGGTTGACAAATCAGTACACCCAGGACATTTTTCTTGGGAACAGCAGCTTGGCCGGGGAGGTGGTTAATTCATACCAACAATATTTTAACAAGGCACCTAAGAAAACAATTGGGACCACAGTTTGTACAATAAGTACTAGTGAAAAAAGGTGACACTAAAATAGACAACTAACAATATTTAAGGAAGTGTTGCTGGAGACCAAAATCAATATAATTCATACCATGACATTCCCCATTACTATGTATGGATGGGAAAGTTCGACAGTGAACAAAGCTGCCAAGAAGAAAACGAATTCATTTGAAATGTGGTGCTGAATGAGTTTTATGGATACCACAGACTGCCTAAAAGACAAATAAGTGGGTTCTAGATCAAGGGATCTAGATTCTCCCTAGAAGCTAAAATGACAAAACAAAGGCTACCGTACTTCGGTCAAATCATGAGAAGACATGACTCACTGGAAAAGACAATGCTAGGAAAAGTTGAAACCAATAAGAAAAGAGGAAGACCCAACACGAGAGATGGTTGACTTAATAAAGGAAGCCACGGCCTTAAAATTACAATCTGGAAGATCTGAGCAAGCCTGCTAAGGATAGGATGTTTTGGAGATCATTAATTCATAGGGTTGCCATAAGTTGGAAGCAGCTTCATGGCACATAACATTCATGGCACATAACAGACACAACAATGACTACTGGGAATGACTATAGGAATGAACAGACTTTGCTCTATGCTTTCCCAATTATCCTACAGAAAATCAGTGCATTCTTATAGCCATTTTCTGTCATTCCCTTTGGCGTCACCCCCAAAATAGGGGCCATCCTTGGTAAAAATGAATGGCTGGAGCATATACAGATGGGGAGTCCCTCAGAGTATCTGTTTACACACTGTGGATCCACTTGATTCCAGTCTATGGCGATTTTAAAAAACAGTGTATATTGGTGAAAATCTAGCTAGCTAGTTTCTCTCTCTCCTTCCGAAATGCACACGTCTTACTGCAATGGTGATGTGAGCCCTTTGCAGTATCATCATCTGTATATGACTCTCCACTCCAAACCTCCCCCCTCTTCTCAAGCACAGAGATCAAGGTGACAGCAAAAGAGACCAAAGCCCATGTCCGTGATCTGATGGAGAGACAGGAAAGCGTTAAACTCTCCTTGCCGGGGGCCCGGGGCGGATCCAGTTGCTAATTGCTTTCAGCTGGCAGCATCCATACTTTAAGAAAAAAATCCTGTTACAGTCATTGGAGGAACAGAAACTTCTCCTTGGCCTGGAGAGCCATCTATGCTGAAAAGGAGGTGGTAGGATGGGAGAGAAGGAAGGAGCCAACACAGCTGGCTTCGACCTTGGATGGAAAGCACCCATGGTCCACCCTTTTGGTGCCAGGCAAATGCACAACATTCCTTGGACCCTCCTCCAAGATGAGTTCTCCACAGAGAGGAGGAAATGCATTGCTGAGGCCCTGCAGCATCTGTCAGCCTTCTGCTCCCATCTCCAATGCCTTTTGTTAGATGATGAGATCCTCCTGACCAACTCCTGCCTTCTTCCCCATTTTTTGCAGTCTGTCTGGATAGTCATCCGGCCCTGGGCCACTGTCAACATTCACTGTCAATACATGACATTCTCAACACACAACACATTCAAGTGGGGAGCTGTCATAATGAAATAAAATTCACAAAATACTGACCTCCCCCCCCAAAAAAGCAGAAAATAGGTGACTCTGCATTTCATGCATCCACTAGCTGTCCTTTAAGTCCCCTTCCTTGCCACTTTTTCTATTCCCTAGCCCTGCCCCCTCTCGGTGATCTCTCAATCTCATGGCCTAACCAATTTACAAAGTTGTTGTGAGTTTAAAAACACCATGAAGAAACAACATTTTCCATTCTGAGCTCTTTGGAGGAAGGACAGAATAAAACAATAACAGTAATAAAATTCTTGTACATTTATATATAATTGCACACTTTCTCTCACACAGCCTTAGGCAAAGTTGACCCTGCAGTGGGATCCAGCTCCATGGAGTTGAACCTGAAGCTGAAAACATCTAAGCCACCAGTTCCCCCCCCCCCGCCTCCTTTCCTCAAGCAGCCCAATATTTAGTGCCTGCATCATGCTCCATATTTGACTGCGGGAACAGCCAGGGCTCTTTTTGTAGAAAAAGCCCAGCAGGAACTCATTAGTATAATAGGCCACACCCAACAGCAGAAACTCATTAGCATCTTAGGTCACACCCCTGACAGCACAGCTCATTAGCACATTAGGCCGCACCCCCATGTTACCAGAAGTGTGGTCATCCAGCCACACCCACCTTTTGCTTCTTATTCTATTTACCTTGTTTGTGGTCAAAACCCAGGGCTTTTTTGTAGCAGGAACTCCTTTGCATGTTAGGCCACACACCCCTAATGTAGCCAATCCTAATGAGTTCCTGCTGCTGGGTGTGGCCTATTATGCTAATGAGTTCCTGCTGGGTGTGGCCAACTTGGGAGCCAGCCGGAACTCCATTCCTGTGCGTTCCTGCCCCAAAATAGCCCTGAGTGAAACTAACATGCAAGCACAATGAAATGAGGAATGTTGGGGATCAGAGCACAGACTTGGGGGGGGGACATAATTTCAGCAATATTTACAGTCTATACTTTGGTAAAGAGCTCTGGCTCTGCACTGCCGAGCTACCATGCACAGCTAACTAGTTGGCCATCTACCTGGATGGTTCAAGATTGCTAAACAGGATAAAGACTGGCAAAATTTGTGGTCTCTAGTGTCCAGATAGTAAGACACACTAATAACAAACACATAAGAACAAATTTAGAGTCCAGTGGCACCATTAAGACCAACAAACGTTTATTCAAGGTATGAGCTTTCATGTGCAAAGCACACTTTTTAAAATCCCTGTAGACAGGGATTTAACAGCAAATTAACATGTAACACGATGATGTTTAAGTTATGCAAAGTGAAAAACTAAACAAGTTAAGGTTATAAGGTCAACAGTTGTAAAGCAATATGTCAAAATAGCAGATGAATGTCTAAAGGTGTTTTTTCTAATTGTGGGAAGTAACAGAATCTTAATTACATAAACACATAAGCCAAGGGTGAGAAAACTGTTATAGGCTGCGGTCACACGGAACAGAAGGCACACAAGTGAGATGGAAAACAGGCGGAGCTTCCGGGCGCGATCTCACCAGCACAGCTGGGAAGCGTAGCACTCCCGTGGCTCAACCGAGGCTTCCAGCCGAAACTGCGTGGCAAAAAACTAGTACCTCGGAGGTACTAGTTTCCAGAAACTGTGGGACAAGGGCGGGCGTCTGATTGCGTTTCCGGTGGCATCCGGCGCCCGCCCATGTCTCCTTGCAAATAAGGTGGGTTTTTTTGTCCAAGTCTCTGTGGATGCGCACACGCACCCAACGGAGCATGCGCATTTGTCGTGTACACACAAAAAAAACAGTTTGCCGCGGCGCGCGCTTCTTCGTTGCGCGCCGGCTTGTCCTGTGATCAGCACCTCTCCCTTGCCATGGAACCTCCACGGTACCTCCACAGAACCTCCACGGGAGGTCTGATCACGTAACAGCGCAGTAGTTTGCCCCAGGGCAAACAGCCACGCTTCTCCCCCGCAGCTTCCTGCCCGTGTGACCGGGGCCATAGCACAATTATATGCAGGGCATACAGTGAAGCAAGAAGATGGTTAGGCACTGCCTCCTAATCCATATGATTCCATCTCTCAAGTTCAGCCCTACCGTAAGGCAAGCCAAGGCGGCCTGCAGATTTTGGAGTTATTTGGCTGCGGTCACACGCAACATTAGCCACGCAAGAGATACGGAAGACAGGCGGAGTTTCCGGGCGTGATCTCACCAGCACATCTGGGAAGCGTAGCGCTTCCATGGCACAACCGAGGCTTCCTGCCGAAAACGCGCAGCAAAAAACTAGTACATCGGAGGTACTAGTTTCCGGAAACTGCAGGGCAAGGGCGTGCGTCTGATCGCGTTTCCGGTGGCATCCGGCGCCCACCCATGTCCCCTTGCGGAAAAGGGTTGTTTTTTCCCCAAGTCTCCGTGGATGCGCACACGCACCCAACGGAGCATGCGCATTTGTAGTGTACACAAAAAAAGAAAACCAGTTTGCCGCACCGCGCGCTGTGCGCAGGCGTGTGTTGTGATGGGCACCTCTCCCTACCCACGGAAGCTCCACGGTACCTCCACAGAAGGTCTGATCGCTTAACTGTGTGTTAGTTTGCCCCGGGGCAAACAGCCACGCTTCCCCCGCAGTTTCCTGCCCGTGTGACCTTTATAGCCCACCTTTTTTGCTGAGACCGAAGGTGGATACCATTAAGGGTGTGGAACTGTCAGTCCTTTAACTGATTATTTTTACTGCTATGAGGGATGCCACCTTGGTTTCCTGCCTCAGGTACCAATGCTGATGTGAAAGGTCGTGGTTCCCTTCCCAATAAAATTCAGAAAGCACCAGCCCCTGTCATTATCCCCACCATCTGTTTCAAGGTGGCAGCATTTCCCAAAAGATAGGCAGAGAAACAGTGTTATTCATGTCACCCTTTCCAAAACCTGGGGGAGAGGGAAATACATCTCACTTCTCAATGCTCTCCCATAACTGTACCCATTGTTTAGGGATGTATGCTGGTGTCTACAATGCAACAGGCCCTTCCTGGCCAGCTTCCTGAGCCATTCTGTTTAAACAAAGCAAGAAAGCGCATCATTCTTTTTTGTCTGTGCATGTATTATGGGCGCTTTCACACACCCTAAATAATGCACTTTCAATCCTCCTTCCATGCACTCTGCAACTGGATTCTACTGTGTGAAATGACAAAATCCACTTGCAAAGGGTCGCTGAAGCGGATTGAATTTATTTAGCTAAAGCGAATCATGCATTATTTATCATGCGTGAAAGCGCCATATATATTCATTACCCATTTGTCGTGCGCTGTTGGCACATGCCTCATGGGGGGGATGCAATACCGTAGATTTTCGCTGAAAGAATGCTGGCGCCTCTCCCCGCTCTCCTTTGAGGGAACAGTTTGCATTTCCGGCACACTCAGAACAATATTTTTCGGACTTGAGAAAGCCTTCCCTTCCCAGCGAGCGGCAAACCAAGCCCGAGTTTGATTCAGGCCGCAGAGGAGATAGAGGCGCCCGTAAGCCCCTCCCGGCCTCCCTCCGGCCCACGCCTGCTTCCTGTCGCCAGGGCACCCCGCTGAGTCCCCTCCTGCGCGGCGTGACAAGAAGGCGCGAGAAACCAGGCCAGGCCCTGCGGCTCGAGGGCTCCCCGGCGAGCTGCCAACATTGTCTTTCGCAAAAGAAAGCGCTCCAACAAGCTTGCACGCACTCCCGGACGCCCGCCCGCGCGCGCGCGCGCGCACACACACACACAAAATCGGGGACCCGCAGAAAAGTGGGGAGAGGGAGGGAGCCCCTGGAAAGAAAGGCCCTACCTGTCCAGCCTAGCCTCTCCGCCGCCTCCACCAGGGCGATCCCAGCCTCTCTACCGCCATGGATCCAGCTGCGCTCGGCTTCCCAACATCCCTTCCCCTCGCAAGCAACTTTTCCAGCAGCAGCAGCAGCAGATCAGCTCAAACTTTCTGAAACTCCTCCTCTGCTCCGTCCCTCTGCACATAGGCCCTGGAGACTCCCTTGCTTTTGTCACTGCTGTTCCTATGGCAACCCCTGACGGAGGCCATGGAAAAGAGCAGATTTTGGGAGGCAGAGCTGCTGTCTCCTCCGCCTCCCTCCACCTTCCTTTCGTCCCCTCCCCTCCAGCCCCTGCTCCAGCCCCTCTGGCAAGGAGCGGCTTCTCTCGGGCTTGGGCCAGGCCTGTCTGGACAGGGGCCAGGCATTGCATGCAAACGAGGCAAACCACAACACAAAAGCTGCCTCAGAAAACAGGGGCCAGGAAGCCAAAGCTAGGCCCCGTCCCCCCAGCTTCTGCACTGTTCCCACACGCTGAGAAGCCGGGCCCGGTTTGCTGCTCTCCGCTATGTGGCTACTTCAAGCAGACCACGACTGATTCTGCATTGGCTTTCCCCTCCGTTCTTTTACGAAACCCACATTGGAACAGAAATACCCCTCTGCATTGCATGCTGCTTTCACTTCCTTTGATCATCAGATTTTATGGTACCCTCCACATTCCATGCCGCTTTCGCTTTCTTTGATAATTGGATTTTATGGTACTTTCTGCATAGATGTATGGCCGTTCAGGGGTGACTTTGCAGTCAGTACAGCATTGCACTGAGGTATTGGAATGTGGTTTTGAGCTGCACTTTTTCTTCCTCCCAGTTGAGAAAATGTGGAGCGAATGCTAGACACAGAATTGCCCCCAGGACTGAACCTCACTCGTGGCAAAAAAAATTATGGCCCAACAAAATCGAGGATGACTTGCACAAGCATTGGTAAGTAGAAGCTCAGAGTGTCTAGCACATGCACTCCTCAACCGGTGCTTTAAGCATGTTAAGAACCACCACAGTTAGAGACACTTACACAGTGTGTAACATTTAGACCTTCCTTAAGGGCCAATTCAGTGTCTGTTATGAGCCCATCCTCAAGGACCAAGTGATTGCTGTATGTACAGTCAGGCCTTCCTCCCTCCCCCTGAAGTCAAATTGCCTAGCGAATTAACACTCCACACTGGATTGGGAAATATCTGGAGATTCTGGAGTGGGGCCGATGGAGGGAGGCATTTGAGGACATATCCCTCAGCAGGGATAATATGCTGGATTATGGAGAAAGCAAGAGAGTACCAGAAAAACATCTACTTCTGCTTTATTGACTATGCTAAAGCCTTTGACTGTGTGGTTCACAACAAACTATGGCAGGTCCTTAAAGAGATGGGAGTACCAGACCACCTCACATGTCTCTTGAGAAACCTGTATAAGGGTCAAGAAGCAACAGTTAGAACCG